TTTTATTAGAGCTACTAGACCTGCATATAATGTTTACATTAAACCACCTCATCTAAAAGCTTTGGACCAAATTTATTTATTTAAAATGTTTTTAACACAACCTTCACATGCAGACTGAATTCATTTTCTCATCAAAGGCTCACAAGTGCACAATTTCATAAATGGATGGAAGCAAACTCAATCTTGCACCTTGATGTGCTTCGATATCGTATTAAACAACTTCATCTAAAAGCTTAACTTGTAAGATAGAGGACATATTTCTTTATTTAAATTGTGTCTTCAACAGTTTATTTACATGTGTGCACATTGAGAGTATATAATGTATTCACAAGTTCAAAAGTTACTCGTGCTCATAGTTTCGACTCATTATAACCTTTATTCAATTGTAATGAGGCTGAAGTGTACATTCATGTTGTGATTCAATTAAATTATAGTTATCAATATGGCAGCAGTATCAAAGACTGGCGAAGGAGGAGCTCTATCGAGACATTTCCGAATGATACTCCTTTGAGGAAAATCATATTCGCCACTAAAAACATAGGAATAATATAAAATAGTAATTGAAGGATTACCAGAGAGTATCCACATGAAGGAGACAACCAGTAGAGAAGAGATTCCATAAACGCTAAGAATGGTCGATTGAGAGAGGAGGACAGGCACATAACCAGGCAATTTCAGATCTCTTGGAATGTATGGGTGACCACCCTCTACTTGTGTCTCCATTTTCCCACGATCTGCAGTTTTCCACTAGGAGAAAAGTCAGGAAAGTAGAATCAATGCCTTGTATAATGAAAAATAGTGTATACATTAGCATTTTTCGTTTGCCCAAACAAAAAAGCATTTTTAGAAAAACTATTTAGTGCATCTAAAAGAATTTAACGTTTCCATCAATCAAAAGGCTCAAGATTTTCACCAATAACTTTTCATTAGCAACTTCAATAACACTCGATGGCGATCAACTACCAGATATCATTTTCCACTTCTCTTTTTTTCCTCCCCAGAAGTTTAATCAGTAAACAAACCAGAAGCAGACTCCGGTTGAAGTTGGATTCAGAAAGAAAATCAAATCATCAGCATAAGACGCCAAACGGGAATGGAATCCATCCAGGTATATGAAATAAACCACTTACTAAAATACTGACTAAATAATGGGTCAATTGGTTGCAGTTTTCTTGATTCTTCCTTAAAAATATAAATTAAAAATTACTCTTTCTAACCATATGCGCAGAGCGTGGCTGCTAGTACAACCAACTCATTAAGCAGCTATTTTATAACCTCTCCTTCAGTCATCTCAAGCATCAATTTTCAATATGGGACTTCTTAAAAGTTAAAACTTCCAATCATTAACAAATTGTGTGATAAAAATGCTATTAAATATCCAACCATTACACTTTTGAGGTGTTTAAACAGGTTACAAAATAATATTATTTACGAACATGGATTTGAATTTGTTCTGAATTAGTATCATTTATTTAATTATTTAATTTTGAACTAAGTTCGATACCTGTTGAACGTTTTGACCATTGACCTTTTTCAGTGTATAAAAAACATTGATTAGTTCTACTCATCTAACCAGTCAATCTCTTAAGGACATTGCCTCAAATATGGCTGACATAATTGCAACTTGTGATTCTGCATGAGTAGAACATGAGATGAACCAGAACCATGATAGGACTATATACATTTGTCAGTACCTAATTTTTCTCTAGAAACCTGCTAATTACATTTTGATTGAAATATTACAGTAAGAGCACTTGTTATATACCAGCTGTGATGGATATGAAAAATGAAACGGCAAAATCTGAAGATAAACGCCCCTATTTGTTGACATAAATACTAAATTGTTGAAGTATTCACTAATTAATACAAAGCCCCACTCATAAGCATTCTCAGTATATCTGAAACCTGGTCCAGTTAGCTCAAATTTCCATTCATAACCACAAACAGTAATAGTGAACTTATGTAGAATTATGAGAAATGATGAATATGATTTAAGCTTCAGACGATAAACACAGTCGGATAACACATATTCCATCCTTCGGACAAGTATTGCCACCTCTAGATGTAATATGATGTCGAAGACCGAGATGAACTACAGAAAAAAAAAAAATCTAGGTTGAAACGGTCATTTAAAATCAAGGACGCTCCCAGAAGAATGGAATCACTTCTTTCCATTCTGGAAAGGTCACATTCACTTGGTTGATAGAAACAGATAAATGGCTAATCATTTTTGCTCCATCACCATATAGAAAATAGAAATAGGCTAAACAAGGAACAAAAATTTGGGGTGGCTCCTCAACCACTTGCTAAAGAGTCTATTTTATAAGATATAATTAGAATTCTATTTCATCATTGTTCTTGTGTGCAAAAAACCATCTCCATTTTAACCAATCTTTGAGTATTATATATATGACACGGCAAGATTGAAGTTATCAAGGTATCACATATCACACTCACTAACAAGCCAATTTTCTATCATTTGCAGACTAGTGTAAACTCAAACTACATAATGAATGGATACAATTAATGCTTTTAGCCACTTAATTCGTAGATAATTATCCAAACAATCCAAAATCAATTTGTAGGAACTGAACACGACGAAGCCCCGTGTATAAAGTGATTAAAATTACAAAAGCAGATTGATCAGACTGATAAACAGTAAGAGGACTTTCTCCATTTCAAGTCAATTAAGAGTTAAAATCTCAAAAGATAGTGGATCCCAATAAACTGAAAACTACGCTCCTCATTCATTAGGCCCGCTTCTTCTGATTGTTCCCTAGCCTCCACTCTCATAGTAAAATCAAGATTTAAAATCCAACATTCAACAATATAATATATTACCAATAAGCAACGACGTTGCATGCTAAAAAGTTGGAACTATTCGGCTTGATTCAAATATTAAAGTAAAATGGCGGAAAAAGAAAGGCAGATCATTGTACACTTACAGATAATTCACGAAGAGAACCACTATGTTGATGAGACCCACAAAAAAATTCTTCAGTGAAATGCTAAGAAATGTGGGATAAGACTGGCGCTGCTAAGTGTTGACTTCTATAAATTGTGAAGGAACGGAGAGAGAGAGAGAGAGAGAGAGCAGATCCGATCTTCCTTTTCTTTTAATTTTTCATACTTTTTCAATTGAAAAATGGGAGATTTTCACAAATGTGACTAAATTTGAAAATACATAAAAAATTTGTATGTGCACTCAATTTGTTCAAAAATGTCACTTTTTTGACTTGAAAGGTCCAAATTACCCTTGGGTCACCTT